ACCCAAAGGTTACGAAAACACTGTAAAGTCATACGACTCCTGTGTCCACTGCAGCACTATTCACAGCAGTCAAGACATGCGAGCAACCCAAGTGCCCAGCAAAGGAAGGACAGAGATGACGTGCTCCACAGATATGATGGGACGCGACTCAATGGTGAAAAATAAGGATGAAATCTTGCTGTCCGTGACAACATGGATGGACGCTGAGGGGGTTATGCTAAGTGAAGTCAGTACAGGGAGAAAGACATTTACTGTATGTACTTCTACTCATCTGTGGAACATGAAGAAAACACCTTTAGCCCTTGACAGTGGAATGGGGGCTCCCAGAGGAAAAGAAGGGGAAGGGGATGCATAGAGGGGGCCAGTCAGTGGTGAGTGGACGCTTGCAGTGGGTGTGGTGAGAAAACGGATTTTTAGAACCCTAAGCACCATGATAAACTAAAGTTATCTCAGTTTTTTAAAGATTTATTTATTTATGCATACAAGAGCTGGGGTAAAGGCCAGAGGTGTTGGGGTGTGTGTGAGAGGATTCACCAGAGACAGAGTGGGGAACAGAACAGGCAGACTGACTGAAATACACTGCTGAGGGGAGCAGTGGCGAGACAGGAGAGGTCTGCTGTGCCATGAGGGCTGCTCCCTGGCCGGGGGATTGAACTTGTGCTGTAGAGGCTGCGGAAGCTTCATAGGTTTTAACCCTGTGTGCCATGAGGGAGGCCCTGTTATCTCAGTTTTTTAAAAAAAGGAAAAATAAATAAATGCACAAAGGTGTGTAGCCTGGGCTGCTTATACAGAGGGGCTAGATTCTGCCAATAGATATAAATCAGTTTCCCTAGTACTAGGGATAGGGTGGTCTGTGATTAATCAATTCCTTGATTCACTACACGATCGCTGTTTTGATGTGCACAGTCCATGAATCATTTACAGCAAGGCCATCCCTGGAATCTGAGTTGAATTGTTGGCATTTATCAATCTATCCGGTAAATATTTGGGGGCACCAGCAGTGTGCCCAGTTCTGCATTAGGTACTGAAGGTCCAAAAGGGAGCAAGTCAGACAAGATGCATGAACTCAGGCATTTTACAGTCTGGTGAAGGATCTAAGCATCTCAGCTGTGAGATGGAGAAATACAGAGGCGGGTGTCAGGGTGACCATGTAATTTATTGTCTAAACCATGATACTTAGGAGAAGATAAGGCTCTACCATTAATGATGACATCAGGACAACAGATATGACAGGACTACATTGGTCAATTTGGACATCTGGTTGCCATGGTTATGGGAATAAAAGAGAAAATCAAGCACAGCAAGATGGGTGGGGAGGGGGGGCTGATCAGGGAAGGCTTCCTAGAAGAGGGGACCTATGAAGTGACTTGTAGTCACTTCCAGTGTGGATTCCCAGAATGCATATTGATAGGGAAATTATAAGTGTGTAGAAGAGATTCGGAATATTGCTTTACTCATCTTATCTACTGGACACGCAACTGCTTTTAATTTACCCAGTCACCCTCTCTCGAGGCCTCCCATGCCCACAGATGATTGCTCAATAAGGTTTCTCCCACCCACCTCTGTATTTCTCCATCTCACAGCTGAGATGCTTAGATCCTTCACCAGACTGTAAAATGCCTGAGTTCATGCATCTTGTCTGACTTGCTCCCTTTTGGACCTTCAGTACCTAATGCAGAACTGGGCACACTGCTGGTGCCCCCAAATATTTACCGGATAGATTGATAAATGCCAACAATCCAACTCAGGTTCCAGGGATGGCCTTGCTGTAAATGCTTCATGGACTGTGCACACCAAAACAGCGATCGTGTAGTGAATCAAGGAATTGATTAATCACAGATCACCCTATCCCTAGTACTAGGGAAACTGATTTATATCTATTGGCAGAATCTAGCCCCGCTATATAATCCTTCAAAAATCAAAACTATTTCAATCCTTCAAAAATCAAAACTATTTCCAAAAAGTACCAGGAACATGTCCGCACTTACAGAAGCACCCCAATCCCCTGGGGTGATTAGAATCTCCTCCCTTTATCCAAGACCTGGGGTGGCTAGAACAAGTCTCTCAAGTACCAAAGTGAATCTTTCTACTTGTTCGAGGAAGTTTTTGCTCTTGGCTGGATCAGTACTTCCCTGCAATTTCTTCTAAGGTGACTTTTCACCTCTTCCTTTCTCCTTTCTTGTCTGGCTGTTTTACTTCTTACCCACAAGTGATGCCTCAGATGTTTTTTCTTCTCACTGCTATTCGATCCTCTGTCACTCATATGCTGACCTGTTGGCATATCGGCCTTCTCCAAACCCTCCTTGGCATCACTCATCCATGAGAAATCCTCGTCCAAAACAAAAAAGGGAGAAGCTGAAACAGGTGCCAGTGGGGAGAAGACGCTGTTTGCTGAAGTGAGATGCTGGGCTGTGGATGGAATTACTGAGCAATTAAGCTGCTGAAGAGGCACAACTGCCCAGGAGCTGGTGGTGACCACAACAAGGTAATGAGAGGTGAGAGTCCCTTCAGATGCCATAGTGGGGTGGCATCTGGTGGACAGCTCAGCGGCCAGCGGGCGTGATGAGAGGGTATTGACCACAGCCAAGAACTCTCATTGTCTGTCTGAACTCAGCCTGGGACATCAGACCTCCTCCATTTAGATTCTTTGATCTGGGGAAATGTAGGGTGTTTGAGACCACGTAGGTAGGTCAGAAAAGAGCAACTTTATCTGATATAACTCTCACCCAGCCCAAGTGAATTCTAAATACGCTATTTATAATTAGTCTTACCCTGAAATTTAGCATTATAAGTAAATGAAGAGGAGGGAGCAGAGGGGAGGGGAGAGAGATGATGGAATTAATCCAACAAGAGACAAAGAAAACCACAGAGATGAAATAAAGTCTTTCATGGACATCAAAAAACTCAGTAGATAAGCAGTGCCCTGACCAACATGCTTGAGAGCATAAAAGCCCCCCCACCCCTGCACCCCCTAAAGATGATAATCTAAGCAAAATAAAGATTTTTCTCGGGTTTTCACATTTGGGAGTGATCCTTAGGAGCCTGCGGTGTAGAGGTCCGTGCACTAATAATTAGGGGTGAACACTCAAGGTGAGAGAGGGAAGGAGTAAGGTGGATGGTTCTGTCTGGCCGGAGCAGGTATCCGCCGTGTCTTCACAGTGAGCAGCTGCAGACCGACTCTGAGCAATCTCTGCAATCTGGTATCCCAGCTCGTGCCCGAGAGAGGCCTCTCAGGGGCTGCCGGACAAAGGTCTAGGAGGGGGCAACACCTCAGAATGAGAAGAGGAGGAAGAGACCCTAGGACAGGCTGGATCGGGGGCAGTGCTGCCTCGTCCCCAGCCCCATCCTCGGAGAGACAGGCTGGGAGTCATCACGAGCCTCGAGCCACGACGCCATCTGAACATTCCCGGCCACGGGGCTGTGTTGGAGCTGTGCGTGCAGTTCCTTTTTAAATGTAAGGGTTCAATTCCCAACTAATCCCTTTGCGTGTCCTAATAAAACACCATTTACAAATTGTAAAGAAAAGGCACCCCAAGGAAACCAGGTTTTGATCCCACTTGCAAGGCCGTGCCGAAACCTCGCTGGTCCCATGACAAGGAGCGGCCCTTCACGCACATGCTCACCCGCTTATGACAAATGCCATTCACCTTTGGGTCTGTATCACTTTCAAAACTACCACATGACGTAGGATGCCGACGAGAAACAACTACAGCTGCGTGATCTCAACAGGGGCGGGTCAACGTAAGTGTCAGCCGCCCGCGCGCCCCCCAAGCCAGTTGTCCCCAGCTGACTCAGAGACTTGGCAGGAGCAGGCCCCTAAGCCAACATCTCTGGAGAACTCTGGGGTCAAATGGGGTGATTGTGTCCTGAAATAGGAGGCATTTGAACAACTCAGATCATCATTTCTGGTTTATTAACCAGACTTGTGTTTTCTGTGCAAGGTTGATGGCTCTGCTTTATGAGAACCAATTAATGCACCACAGATTCCTGGAGGCCATGAAAACTCATTCCCTCTTTTTCTGCCCCCTTCCATTCATTTCTCTCGCGCCTCCCCCCCTCAAAGCACAACACAAACAGCCTTTCTCTCACCGTGTCAACGGGACCACTATGGACTAGAAAAGGGGTGTGTTCCCAGCTAACGTGCTGCAGAGACGGGGGAAGATTTCTGCAGGACGGGAGCCCTCAGACTCCCTGAGTGTGCAGGGTCAGAACTCAGTGAATCCTCGACACCATCCAGTGGGACAGTTTTTACCATTTTCCCTTTTACATTCGAGGAAGCTGAGACCCAAATTTGAAAGATAGTCTGTGACTTCCTGATTCTCCTGGTCAAAAACCTGGATCTCACTAGCAGCCTGCCTCACCCCCTGTGGCCCGAAACCCGCCTGTCTCTAGCCACAAGCCTCCTCGGCCTGCCCCTCTTTGCACCCGTGTTCTGAACGAGCCTGAAGACCACCTCGCCCGCTTGCGGCACAAGGACACGGAGAAAAGCAAGAACAGTCATGGAGCAGAGGGCTGCCTTCCCAAGGCTCCCCACTACAGACCACCTAGCCCCCCAACGTGGGCAACTGATGCGGAAAGTGGTCTCTCTGCTGCCCTCTCTGCTGTGGACCTGGTTTCAGCAAAAGCTCCATTTTGCCTTGTAGCCATGAAACCAGATCTCCTGGCTCCAGGCCACAGTGGTTGATGAGGGGAAGGAAGGCGCACAGAACCCCAGCCCGGAATCTCTCTCTCTCTCTTAACACAGACTGAAGCCAGCAGAGGAAAGCCATGGTGAGGTCACTGCATTCCTGCTGGATAAAGAACATCTTTGTCCCCTCCTGCCAGGCCGCTGGCAGATCTAGCTGAACATCACCACCCCGCCAAAACATGAGCATTCTCGGAATCGCAGGATGCACAGTGCCATGGAAAAAGCAAGTACGCGCAGACCCTCAGGCGGGTACATGCACACGCAGAAGCAAGTGTACGCACTGCTAGGAGCAAACACTGAAAAATAAACATACCTGACATCCAGCCCAACCGCGTCTCCAGAAGAACAAGATTCCAGAAGCGCTCGAATCCACCAGGATCAGTGTTCAGGGTGTGCCCTCTTTAATTTTCTCAATTTCCTCTCTGCAAATAAGAACAGCAGTACCTACCATGAGTATTTGTTGTGACAATTAGAGAAACACATAACCCCCCTAGCTTAGCATTCGCAGCACCAAGATGGAATGTTTGCTACTGTAATTACTTGCTGGGATATCTTCCAGTTCATGGCCATCCCTCCTTTTCTGGGAACTTCCTTCCTATCCAAGACATGGGGCGCCCCACTCCAGAACCCCACTGGCCAACATGCTAGGGAAGGGACATCCGCAGGAGGCCTATGACCTTGGATGGATCCTATTTAGAATTTTAAGTGGGGTCAAGTGAGACATTCCTATCCCAAGGTGGTCAGGACTGTAATGGGCAAATTTAAGATTCTCTGCAACCGTGTCGGTCCGCGGATCCAAGATATGTGGGGAGACACAGAGGAGGAAGAAAGAGCATGCGGGCAGCACCCAGGCCCTTCCTGCGGCCCGGCTCTGCCCCTTTCTCTGGCTACCAGGAGGCAACCCCATAGTCTCCTGTCTCTGGTTGTCCTTAAGCTGACTTGAGTCGGTTTCTGTCATTAGCCACCCATTAAATCCCATCACAAAATGACGATAATGAAAGGTGTGACCACTATGATAAGGACTAGATGCACGTCCATACAGACCATCTCTTTGACTTGTTTCCCCAAGGTCCCCCAAGGTTACTTACAACTGTGGCTTTGTGTTCCTCTTAAATAGGTAGTGACCAGGCAGCCCCGGGGCAGTTGGCACAGCTTTGCCTAAGCCACTGTCACTAAATGTGAGGACAGAGGCGCCTGTCTGGTTCTGCTTGTCTCCTTTCTACCTTATGTCCACTTTGGAGAGTGCCAGGCATGTGAGAAGCTGCATAGTGGAGCTGATAGTGACCTTGAACAAATGACCTCTCTGGGGTTCAGAAACATTTAAATATTAAGAATAGTTGCCTGGAAAGCTCCAGACAACGCGGAACACTCGATGGAGGATGACCCTTCTGAATAAGCAGTGTTTGCAACCCACATCCATAGAGCTTCCCATTACACTTTTCCCAGGTTCCTTTCATGCTTATCGGTCTCAGATAACAAAGAAAGGCCCTTGATAAACAAAGAGCATGGGGGCTGTTCTTCCCCCAAGGCTGGCAGAATGCGCTCCCTGGCTGGGAGTTCTGGGGACCCCATGGCCCTTGGAGGCCCTGGTTGGCTGTGTCCACCCAAGGAGGACGCTCGGTTCTGGGGCCTGGTGGCCTATCGTCAACACTGTACCTTACAATGTCTCTAGGGCACCAGAAACAAACCAAAATAGAGCGCATAGTCCCTCAGGAAGCTTATAAAGAATTACATTTTTATAAAGCGACACACACACTGGTTCAGGGAGCTCGAAGGAGCCATCTGCACACTGTGAAGGGGAGAGGAGTCAAGGGAGTGATTCTCAGGCTCTGAACCAAGTCTGGAGACCAGGGATGAAGGAGCTAGGAGTGACAGGGAAACTGGGCGGGAAGAAACAAGAGCTCAGAACTCATACAATTCTTCACATGCCCATCGGTGATATGAGAGAGGAGATGATTAGACCACAAGGAGTTTGGGACAGAGAGAGGGTGGGCATGAGGGTGGGGATACAGGTTGTCTGGTCATCGTCACCAAAGTGGTGGAATTACATGAAGGAATGTGCTAATGACAGTGGTTTTCAAACTTGGCTGCACAGTGAAACCTCTTGGGGCTTTTAAAATACTGAAAGCTGGGCCTCCCTGGTGGCGCAAGGGGTTAAGCACCACACTATGAAGCAATCCACAGCCTCTGCCGCATGAGTTCAATTCCCGGCCAGCCAGGGAGAAACCCGCATATCACGGCAGACCTCTCCTGACTCGCCCGCTGCTCCTCAGCAGTGTATTTCAGTCAGTCTGCTTGTTCTGTTCCCCACTCTGTCTCTGGTGGATCCTCTCACCCTCCCTGCCCCGCATCTCTGGCCTGTACCCCAGCTCTTGTATGCATAAATAAATCGTTAAAAAAAATACTGAAAGCTGCCTGGTCCTGCTCCCAGAGTCTGATTTCACTGGACTGGTTGCTGCCTGCCAGCCAGAATCTCTCAGAGCTGTAGGAGGGCGCCGGCACAGGCCCTGGCCGAGAGACCTGCCCTCCCTGCAGAATGAAGGCAGGAGGAAGAGGAGCGAGCAGCCTCGGCGTCTTCTCTGTTGGTGAGATGAGCTGGGGAGGGGAGAAGCTGGGAGGATGAGGGTGCAAGAGATATTCTCCCAGGAGACCCATCTTTACTCCCCCGGAGTCCGATTTCACCCTCAGGGTGATCTCAGCACAGGTCCTTCCATTGCCTTCCTGTTGCCCTCTGCCTGGGCCCCCAGGTGGGAGCTCTCCTGGTGGGTGAGCGTCTGCAGGGAGGCCAGTGCCCGAGGCCCCCAGACCACTCCTGTGAGAAAGGAGGTCAGGCCTCGCTGGGTGGGTGGGACTGACCTCTGCTGGCTCGCAGCACAGAGTGTCAGCAGCTGCTTCTTTCCAGAATTCTAATTACATTTTTTCCTCACTGACACTGTTCCCCCTGACCAATATCTTTGCCATGGTGGGAGGGGGCTGCACAGAGAAACCAAGGGAACTCTGGAAACCTTTCTGACTCCAGCTCATTCCAAACTTTGATGAGCAAACCCAGCGAGCAGCAGTCTTGTGGTTTGGAAACTACATCGAGACTGGGTCACTGGTCCTCAGCACTGGGTACAGAGGAGTGTGCTGCTTCCCTGCACTGAGTCGGGGAGACAGCGAGCCCCCAAGGCCTCACAGTGGGAAGGGCATCACGCGAAGGGCTCTCAGGGACCACCCACGGACACACACGTAGCCCTTACGCCATTCAAATGACATGGTCCTGCCCCCTTGCAGAGAGTCGAGTTGAGCCCCAACCCAGGCTGAGCCAGTCAGAGGCTCTCCCCACTCTCTCCGTCCTTGGATGGTGATGGGGGGCTGCAGGAGGCCCTGCTTTCTGCTGAAGAGCCGTGAAGCACAGAAAAGCTAAACTCACACAGAAAAACCAAGGAGATATCACGCCTCTGACACCAGCAACCACCCGAGACCCAGATACATCCCCCGCCTCAGGTTCTATGCCACATTTGTATATTCTTATAATAATAAATTAGCCTTTAAAATGTTATGCTCTCAAGTTGATTTCTTTTACTTCAAACAAATAATGATGAAAATTTATCTCTGTTTGTATTTACTACTCGCCACTCCTCTGAGTGCCTCCATTAACTCAGTTTTCACAACACCCTGGTGGTTCGGATGTGACGGCCTCCAGTTTATGGATGAGGACAGTGAGGCACAGAGAAAGCCCGTGAATTGCCCAGGACTGTGCAGACCACACAGCATGAAAGAACACGGCCCTTGTGGATTCTTAGAGTCTATTTACAATCTTTCTATGCAAACTTCATCCACAGATGGGACACTGGGGACACAATGAGATCAACGTAAGACAGACAGGAGGTATCTCACAGGCAGCCCGAGTGGGCCAGGGAAGCATCCTGAGGAGAGAATAGAGTGGAAAACCCTTCCACATGACGGGACAGCCGGCCAGCGAGAGGAGCTGGAAGGGAGCCTGGTCGGACAGCCAGTGAAGAGGTCCCAGGCCCACCCAAAGGAGCCAGGTAGGGCAGCCCAGAGGGTGAGAGCCGGGAGGTGCTGGAGGTCTGTGGCCCCTAGGACTGTGCTCCTGTGCTGGAGGCACCCAGGGTAGGGCTTGTGGTTCAGGCAGGAGGCGATGAAGGCCAGGGAGATGGCAAGACTGACCGCCATTTTGGTTCCATTTCTGGATATGCTCTGGTTTGCCTCAGAGCCTCGGAGGCCGTGCTTTTGTTTCTTCTCTCTCCCTGCCCTACTCTGTCTGTCCGCCAGTGAGCTGGTCATGAGGACGGAGCCCGCTGTGAGCACGCACCGCACACTACTCAGCTGAGCTGAGTCCCCAGGGGTGACAAAGGCAAGACGGGGAGGGCGGACAGAGCAGGACTGTCTGGGCTTCTGAGCCACACCCTGCATCTCCTGGCTGCAGCCGGCCTGCTTCTGGAAGGCTGCTCAACTCTGAGGCATACAGAAAGGGACCAAACCCCTGAGGCTTCCAGACCCTTTCCTGTGGTGTTTGCATGATGTGAACCCTCACGTGTTCAGGAGGAAAAAATGGCTGAGCCTAAAGCATTGAAGTAAAAAATAGATTTCAATAAAAGATGATATAAAAACAAGAAATAACTGTAAATGGAATTGAAAGCAAATGACATAAAACTCTAGCACAAGGCTGCTCATTGCAATTCTGGAAACTTTACTTCTCGCAGCTGCACGGTCATCAGTATTCAGAGGCTTCTTCCCACCTTGGTGAATTTATCACACGTGCTGATGGAGGGCAGCGCTTGGGTTTCATGTGGTGTCTGCTGCCCCTCACAACTGCAGGGGACTGAGGCTGGACAAGAGTCCAACAACCCCCCCCCCCAACCGCCTGGGTAGGGAGGGACCAGGTTAAGAAAAGGACCCGCTCTGCCTCCTTGTCCTCGCCCTCCTCCTCCATCCATAAGGAGCCACAGCACCCCTCCCTCCTGAGTCTCCTCTGCAAGGTCCATCCCCATCTACAAATCAGGAGCAATGGGCCCAGCCCAGCGAAGGCTCTTGGGGAGTGGGGAGCTGGGAAGAGGGTGGCCCAGGAGACGTCAGTTCCACAGTCACTGGGCTGTGATGGAGTCCAAGCAGGCACAGGCAGGGGCATGCTGTAGAGGCGGAACACGCTTAGTGTCCCTGCAAATGCTGCCTGGGTCCTCACCAGCCAGAATGAGCTTCCAGGGGACTGCAAAAGCTAGAGCCTCGGGACCTGATCTGATGCTCAGCTCCATAAATTTTCCAAATATCACCCTCAAGGCCTGGTGGGACATCTCCATCTTCTGGAATTCTCCATCCTGGCCTCTCTGTGAAATCAGCCAGTTTATGCCAATCCCGCAGCTGCCTCACTTCCAACACCAGTGTGGAGGGAGGCTGGAGTTGGAGGACCTGCAAAATC